AATATAGTATAATTAAAATTAATGTAAAAATTTTTTACACTAACCGTGTATAAGTGATTAACTCTTTAAATAATATTAGTTTAAGTTAATTAGGATACATATGCGATGTGTGTGAGATCATGTATCATTGAAAAAGAAAAAAGTAAATAAAAAAATGAAAAAAGACATGATTATTAAAATGATTTTTTTATATGTTATTTTAATTTTATATTTATTTTAAATTAAATTATACATTATATTTAATGTTGAAATAATTATTTGAGCTACAATTTTTTCACTTTGTTTTCTTAGACCATGAATATTATTTAACCATTTTTCATATTATAATTTTTCTTAAAAAAATTTTGTCCTTCTATTATTGTACCAACAACATGCATTATTGTTAATGTGACATGACATGACGTTATATTGATGCGAGTATGCGACACATGATGAGATTATGACAATGTGGGGAAATAGACTTTTTTTTTGGTCGTAGAATTTTGCAACTTGGAAGGTAGGGTTGATGGTTTTGGTGGTGAAGGCGAGGGAGAGTTCACCATTTATGATGGTTTGGGCTTTGGGTGAATTTGTGAAGTTTGACATCAACAATATTTTGGAGCACGATGAGATGAGTTTTGTTGTGAAGATCTAGTAAATGTGGTGTTGTTGATTGTTCGTGTGATGAAGAGCACAAAAGGGTACATTGTATTATTATTATTGTGAATATAAAAAGAATCTAATACTTCATAAAAATAGTACACTATAAATTACTTAAACAAATGGTCCACAATAATTACATTTCTCAATAATGGAAGATGTAAGAGAAAAGGAGGGAAAAAATCAATGATTAATTTAATAGAAATGAAAAAAAAATGATAGAAAATACTTTTTAAATTATATGAATTAAAAAATTATAAAAGTGAACTTAAAAGTAAAAAAAAATAGAAAATATTCCTATATTCAGTAAAATCACAAAAAAAAAAAACTTCAACTACCATCCAAGAAAAAAACATTCAGTGAATCTAAAAACAAAATTCTCTCGGATCTAATTGTCTGTTATAGATATAAATCTCATATTTTTTATTATGATTCTATAAATCACATTATCCCTATTATTTTTATTAATAGATTCATGAATTTTGACATTTATAATTATTATCTTGATGATTCATGAAATAATGAGATTTTATTATTGACTATTTGAGTAGGAAAGTTAATGCGCAAGCACATGAACTTCAATATGTGTGTCTGAAAAATCTGATAATCTATGAGAGACTAATACTAGGTATGCTATCCATTAATCTCGGTGTTAAGTATTTAGTCATTTAAGAAAAAAAGTTTGTCATCTTATAATTGATCTTCATAATAGTTACCTAACTATTGTCGATGGGAGACCAGTGTGACTGTGATCCAGAAAAAGTAAATGTAAAGGAAATAGAAGGAATTAAAGATGAGAAAAAGTAACTCCAACACAGACTCACCAAACAAAAAGCAATTGATATTTGAGAGGTAATTCCGAGTAGAATCGTATCAAGAAAAACGTTTGAAATGAGGCCAAACAAGTATGGGAAAAAGACAAAACCATGGTAGAAACCAATGACCAAAATTCTAATTGCAAATATAAGACAATCAATCAACAAGCTAATATTTTTCCCAGTACATTCTACTTTTTTTTTAAATATTTTTTTAAGAAATACTTACTTTTATTTTAAAGATTTTTTGAAAAAATATTTTCCAAAAATAATATCCTACTGACTATCCAACTTTGACCATTTTTACAAGTGTCTAGAATTATAAGTAAATAATCAAAATAGCTTATGAAATCGTAATTTAGTCATTCTTTTCTATGAAATTATATTTTTTATTTATACCAATGTTAGTCGACCTGGTTGAATATCTGAGCATCTGACCTGACCGACCAAATTTCGCTCGCCGATCACATCGATCACCTGCCAAATGTGTCGGTGTGCTCGGCCAAACTACGGATTCATGCCAGGACAATTAAAGAAGGATTAATTTACATAATGTGCCGAATTAGTCCCCTAATTTCCCGGGGTCCAGTCCCTAATTACCACCCAATAAGAAATACTATAAATAGACCCTCAACGAGGTACGTAACCAACTTTTAACTATCACATTTATTACGCCGAACACTTACTTGAGCGTTGGAGTGTCTTTGCAAGCACCCCCCTTCACTTCGGATTACTCGGAAGAATACCTAGACCCAAGACCAGACCCGCCACAACAAGGACAAGTGAAGTGCGTCTGCTAACACAGGAACATTATTCATTTGAATAAATTACAAGAAGATCACCCGAAACTGTCTTTCAAGTTTATATGAAATTATATATATATAAGTTTTGATCCACAAAATTAATTATTATTAGTCATATTAGCTACTAAGATCGGTTTAGTATTAAGGTCAAAATAATTAGGTTTGATTCTCATTTTTTTATAGTTTTTATATTAATTAAAATATGTGTTAACTTTATCCATTTTAACATATATCAATTATTTTAATCTCTAGTTTTATTATGCATCAATGATTCAATGATATCCAGCCTACTAGATTTCAAATGAAAGCTATGAAATTTTGGGGTAAGTTAGCGATACTTATCAAATTCAAGAATTGAGCAATTTTGTAATGTTAGAAATCAAATTAATTAACAATATTAGTTATATGAATTAAATAGATTGGTAATTTTAAACATTAAACATAAATATTATTATTGTATAATATTAAGGGTTAAGTTAATTGATACATATAATTTTAAAATAATTTAATATATCATTAATAAAATTACATATGGTTACATTGTTTTTCTTTAGCGAGTCACATGTTATATAAAAAAAATGATTATCTTACGTAACACTCACTGGTATTTTTACTTTGTAGCATCATGCATCATGTGATAAAAAACAAATTGAGCATCCAAAAAAATATTCATACTTTAGGTTGGTCCAAACAGTTAATAAGACCTTTACTTTTGACTCGCTTAAAAAGTAATTATTTTACATTAATACTTACATATTTTTTCAAGATCCATAATTCAAAAATTATTTTTTATATTTTTAAGAATTCACTCTAAATGATCTATCTTAAAAAAATATATAACTATAAGTACTTTTTCAAAATACTTCTCTAAAATATTTTTATTTTTTTTACCAAAATATATTATTATTAATTTTTAAAAAATATCACTTTAAAATTTGTTTTAAATTTGTCTCTATGATGAGTTAACCGAGTTTTTTTATTCAAATAATGCTATTTTAAAAAGTTTTTATCCAAATAGTAACTATGCAAATTTATTTATTCAACTAGCACCATTTACTGTTCACGTTCAGAACGGGCCGTTCTAAAAGCAGAACGGGCCGTTTCAAATTAAAAAATAACACATGATGAATGGATCAAAATAGACCGTTCCGAATTCAAAATTAGCACATAAAAAGTGGAACCAGAACGCGCCGTTCTGGCCTATAAATAAATTTTTTTTGGTTCGATTTTCACTTATCAAATACCAAAACTCAGAAACTAACATCAAATAATTAAATTTATTGAATATTAACATTATAAATATAACTAAATAAATTTATTAAAATTCAATACAACAATAAAGATCAATGGTGGCGGAAACTGAATTCATGACCAATATTTGGATATGTCTTCCTAGTGTGACTAAGGGTGTGACCATGTGAACAAGGGATATGAACTTTCTGGAACTTGCCGCAATCACATCACATTACATTTAGCCTTACTGTAAATCTCCCAGCGGGTCATGCGAGCAAGGGATATGAACTTTTTGAAACTTGTCGTAATCATACCACATTTCATTTAGCCTTACTATAAATTTCCCAACGGGTCATGCGAGCAAGGGATATGAACTTTCTGAAACTTGCCGCAATCATACTACATTTCATTTAGCCTTACTGTAAATCTCCCAGCAGGTCAAACTTCTCTCGGATGTTGCGTTTCTTCCAACTTTATTGCCAAATCCAGAACTCAACAAAACTTTCAAGGGTCAGCCAAAGTCCAGCAGGATTAGAACATAGATGGACATTAGAGAACAACATAATTGTGTAAAAAATTGTTCCTATTGTCACACTCCTGGTCACACTAGGAAGACATATTCAAATATTGGTCATGAATTCAGTTTCCGCCACCATTGATTTTTATTGTTGTAATGAATTTTAATAAATTTATTTAGTTATATTTATAATGTTAATATTCAATAAATTTAATCACTTGGTAGTAGTCTCTAAGTTTTGGTATTTGATAAAAATCGAACAAAAAATGGTCTGAATCTGTAAGCCAGAACAGTCCGTTCCGGATTTAGAACGACCCGTTCTGGTTCCACTTTTTGTGTGCTAATATTTAATTTGAAACGGCCTGTTAAGATCCATTAGCCATGTGTTATTTTTTAATCTAGAACGACCCGTTTTGATTTCAGAACGACGTTCTGAATGTGAATATTAAATAATGCTAATTAGATAAATAAATTTACACAGATACTATTTGAGAACATTTTTTTTAAAATAGTATTATTTGATTAAAAATTTTCGAGTTAACCATTCCATCATATTATATAAAAAATAATAATTTTAAGCTCAAATTTTTCTAACATCTATAATATACAAAATATTGATAACTTCTTTAATTTTTTATCAAAAATGGTGAATGTATATAAAATAATTATATCTCTCTTAATATAATCTACTTTATACCTAAAGTTAAAGATTTAAATTTTAATTATTTAATTAAAAAATATAGTCACTTGTTAGAACCAAAGTTGGTTCTCTCAACCTTATCTACCATCTCATTTCCGGGTCATCTTTTATTGTCTTATTCTCCCATTTTACTACAATATTTATTACATTTATTATTTTGTTTCTTTAATTTAGCTGTTCACCCCTAAATCACAGCGTTTTGAGGTGGCGTTTTACACGTTTTGATAATTTTATAATAAATTTTAATTAACGTTATTCCTGCACTTTATACTCCGTAATAATAATAATAATACTATATATTTGATTCTTTATAACAACGGTATATGCGATTCTGTGCTTCTTCAAGTTCCCACTAAAGTACTTTTGAAGAAAACAAAATTATCTGCAACTGCTTTACTTTTTGATTGGAGTAATTTACGTATTTTTAACGTTACTCTATATATACTCTGTCTTCCTCCCCTTCAAACTTCTCACGGAGCCAAAGCTGTTCCCTTTTTTCATCTGGGTATGTGATTTTCTTCTTAGCTCTCTTGGATTACAAGAGAACCTCCACATCCGTGGATGCTATAGTTTGATTTAATTTGTATTGTGTAGATCTCGTGTTTTTGCTGACTTTTGAACATTAATCTTAAACTCAATCGTTGTTGAGATTTGTTGACTTGCTTTATGAGTGTCTGGTGCCAATTTTTGTTTACTTATATTTGTTACCATTCCGGGTAGGAAATAAGCAGAAAATCATCTGGGGGCTTCCTGTTTGTGGGCAACACTTAGCCTTTGTGTGTTTAGTGAATCCTGGTTTTTAGATTTTGATCCTGGAACTAGTATTTGCATCTTCATCTGATGCTATGATGCTATTTACCCTTTTGGATTTTTCACCGCTTACCTTGATTGATCTCCTAAAAGGATAAGTTAAGTTACTAACTTCTTCTCTGGCATCCGTGTTGGTTTTGTGTATTGTGATTGTTTAGTTTATCTTTGTTATATAGTGGTTGGTGATTGCATACGGTTACATGACCTAGGCATCTTGTAGCGAGTGGATTTCAGAGAGCCTTGGCTGGGGTGTTTTATAAGTTCCTGGAATTTAATTTAATTTAATTATTATTATTAATAATTTTTTTTTACGATAACCGAGTTTGAACTTACTCTTGTGCATATTATATCAAATGAACATACAAGTCATAGTGTCCCAAATCTTTGGTTTCTTATCTTCAAGGAGATGTAAGCCATAAATCAGAATTGGATAGATTTGATATGCTGTTTGCTTACCTTGGACCACAGGAACCGTTAAAGTTCGGTCACTTGAAATTGGTGGAAAATATGCATGATATCTTCTGATCTCAGAATGACGCGTTTGAGTTGCTTGACTTGCTGCTTAAGCATTATTATGTTTAGGTTGAGAAAGACTAAGAAATTGGAAATTTGATCAGTTTTACATTAATGGTAGTACTTTATGAGCAAATTTTGCTTGTGAACAAAGGGTTATATTTGCTTTGATCACCGGTCCTTGCTTGAGTAAATGGATTCATTAATAACCACTTATAGTCTTTTTAAGGATGTATCCTGAAGTTTGATCTCCGAATCCGTTTGTATGAAAAAATACCTTTTAGGAGAAATTGATACCTAAAATAGATCTCAATATCTCGATGGATTAGACCTTGATTTCTTATCTGAGTTCACCCAAAATTTATAATCACCTTAAATTACATGTTATTCCGATATTGATAGTCTTCTCTATTGACATTTTCTTTGCTGGACATCACTTTAATAATGTCCAATTGTTAGTTTCAATTATGCTTGACTTGATCAAGTTAATTTCCCAGTTTTTCTGTGTATTAATCTGGTTTCTCTCCATGTTTCCAGGGTTAAAGAAGCACCATTGACCAAAATTGTGACAAGGGCTTCCTTGATTTTGATGGCATTCCAGCCCTACATATCCCAGGATTTGAAAACCATCCCAAATGCAGAAAACTCAAATGGTTGCTTCGATTGCAACATCTGCCTCGACTTTGCACATGAACCAGTAGTGACCCTATGTGGCCACCTCTACTGCTGGCCATGCATCTACAAGTGGCTCCATGTCCAAAGTGATTCTCTAGCACCTGATGAGCACCCACAGTGCCCTGTTTGCAAAGCTGATATATCTCACAGCACAATGGTTCCACTCTATGGCCGTGGCCAAGCCACATCAGAAGGAAAAACACCTTGTGATGTTTTCATACCACCAAGACCACCTGCTTCATGTGCACAAACTCTATTTGATACATCATCACAAAGTGATCAACAACACATTCCATATCGTAACCCTTATCAGGGTCACTACTTCACATCTCAACCATCCCATGAAGATGAGGATGATGCAACTTCACAAATGCTCAATCTTGGTGCCACCATGACTCCAGGATCACACCACTATCACCCTGTGACTGGCATGTTTGGGGAGATGGTTTATGCTAGAGTGTTTGGCAACTCACAAAATTTGTATGCATACCCAAATTCTTATCAGATGATGGCAAGTACTAGCGCTAGATTGAGAAGGCAAGAGATGGAGGCACACAAATGTTTGAACAGAATTTCTATTTTTCTCTTTTGTTGCTTTCTTCTATGTCTTGTTGTTTTCTGAGTGAGAAGAAGTTGAGATTATTTACTCTCTCTCTTGTATAGTAGAACTGTAGAAGCATGATTGCAAGCTTTTCAAACTTGCTAGATCCAATGGATCATCACAGGCTACACTTCTGTGCTTAATATATTATACTTAAGTTATATCAATAGATTATTTGAACTCATGAGAATGGTGTGTATAACCTTTATATTATTTTTCAAAAAAAATATTTTCGTAATTTTGTAATCAAAGAATATTTAATTAAACTTTTCCTAAATTAATCTTTGCTTATGGGTTTAATAACTCATCCTCACCCTATATAAGACTACGTTAAAGTCTTTAAAAGATGATTTTTAAATAAAATTATAATAAAATTGCACCGTCGGCTAAAGTTTATTCAAGATTTGAAGTTTAATGTAAATTCTAAATCAAGACTCTTTAAACTATAATCTTATAATAATTTTATTTAAAATTCATATACACCTCTCCTCTTTAGAGAAATGATTTTAACACTTCATTTTATACATTCCATTGACATTTATTTTTTTCTCTGTGATAAGTACTAATAAAATAATAATAATATACGTATAGTAAGTATTGTGTTTATTTTTTATTATTAATAAATATAATAAATGATATCACGAAAAATTAATAAAAAAATATTATATTATAATTTATCATACTAGTATATTTCCAATACTAGTATATTTTCCAAACCAAAATTGGTTGGCAAGTAATAACAAAACAAAATATATGCGTATTTAATGCAAAGTCGTGATAATAATTTTTAGTAAATTATACTTTTCTCCTTTAAGAAATATAAATATTACACTATCTTTCACTGTTATATTAAAAGTTATAATTTTTTCTTTGAACAAATTCTAATATATAATATTTTATTCATTTTTTAAATTGTTTATTAAAATTTCATTACAAAAAAAATTATTATCAAAATACCTTAACACTAACATCCCCTGAGAGATGTGAATATTATACCACGTTCCCTTCTTATAAACATTTTTTTCCCTTAAAAAAAATTAAACATGCTACACTTTAACTTCTTAGTTTACATATTTAATTATTATTTTATTAAAATTAACTATATATATCTTAAAAAAATATTTTCATTATAAATAAAAATAATATATTATTAAAGTGTTAGGATATAAATAAAAATGTTTTTAAAGTTATGTATCAAAATAAAAATAATATATAAATAAATAAGTATAATAAAATCTAAGTGTTAGGATATTACTTATTCAACATAGTTAATGTAATATTTTTATAAAAAATTAAACAAAATAATATTTTCATTATATAATATTAATTATATATATGTGAAATTAATATATTATTTAATTGATGTCAGTGATAAAATATTCAAATACTATATAAATAAATTATTATTTTATGATAAAGTATTATTTATTATATTTAATTAATGTAATGCTAAAATATGTATATTAAATATATAATTTTAAAATAAATATATTTATATTATAATTTTATTATTGAATAAAATATAATTATTGTAAATTTAATATATATATATATATATATTAATTTATATTATATATATTGACATATATATAAGTATAATTTTTAAAATCTTATAATGGTAATTTTTTTAACAATGTTAAATTAATATAATAAGAGAGTGATAATTTAAGAAATAAAAGTATAATTTATTTTATATTTTAACATATGTAGAATGAATAGTATAATACTTATATCTTTTAGGAGATGGAAATGTAATTTATATTAACAACATTAAATTAAATGAATTAAATTTTATATTTTAATATAAGAGTGGAGGAAAGTATAATACTCTTATATATCTCCAGAGAGTATAATGTAACTTTTTTTGAAAAATTTATGAACGTCACGACTAATTATTGCACATGTAAAAAAAAATTAATATGTATTGCATTGCATTGCATGTTCTCTCACCTTTGCTTCATTGTCGCTTTGCGTTTAGGCGTCAGTAGCATATTGTGTTTCTTTATCATTTATATGGATGGTGGATAAATTTGGTATAACAAAATTATAAAATAGCTTAAAACAGATAAGTTAACTGAAATTTTAAGATATATGAGAAGATCAGTTGCAAAACTTAAAAAATTATAAGCCTAAAAACATTAAAACTATTTTTATATAATTATAAGTTAATTAATAAATATAAAATGACATAAAATTAAATAATAGTTATTTCAGGTAGAAACCTATTTCAATAAATTAATAAGATAAACATGAAAAAACAAAAAAAGTTAGTAGCTTATAAACAACTTATGAAAATAAGTGTTATTAAGATAAGTTTGTGTACTAAATAACCTATTTTGATTAAATTAGATTATAAATTAGTTATTGTAATTAGGTTACTGGCTTATAAGCTCCTCCAATATTATCTTACTAAGAAAATATGTTCACGACTTTTGTAGCTATTGTATAAGTGCTAGACAATGAATATTTTGCACGGATTGCATAATAAAAAAAAATAATTTGAGGAATATATATCATTATATATAACGAAAAAAGGCTTGAAAGAAAGAAAATAAATTATGAATAATTAACCACTCTATTTTTTTTTTGAGGTGATGAATGCACATATAATTTAATTCTTGAAAAATCGACACTATATGTTTCATTCTCATCTATTATCTTAGTAGTTCAGTTATAAGTAAAAGGTGTTTAAAGAATGCACAATAATTTGATAATGACTTTTTCATGAATTATGTTTATCTGATTCTGAGTAGTTAAAATATCAATATGGATGAACGCTTAAAAGTTTAACGTAATCAAATTATGTATATATGTGACAATTAAATTTAACCCTAAAATAATTCATACGAAACCAATCTAATGCTCCTAATGATAGTTTAGTTCGATTTTTATAGCCTATAAGGTTCAATTCACACACTTTAATTTGGTTCAATTTTTTTAAACACTCCTAATGTTTGTGATAAATTTTAATATAAATTCCAATTCACTTCAACTTTTGAGTAATATCGACTATATTACTCATAGTTAAGATTTTTAAATAAGTTAATAATAATTTGATTTCTTTGATCATATAACCTACTTAAAGAGCAGAACTTATTGCACTAGACCAATAAACATTTGTTTAAGTCTTAAAAAAGAGAATTTGTATAAGAAGTTTTAAAAAATTCTTTAAAATAATTTTATTCAAGAAAAAATCAATCTCAGTTATTTTTCATAATAATATTTTCAAAAATTAGATGCTTAGTAACTAAATATATTATATTTAAGCAATTTTTTTTTGTCTAGTAATCATAAAGTGTAATGACTATGATCCTTACTATAACATTCATGTTTAAGGTGCTTATTTAGGTGATTTAGTAGAGTGTTGGGTTAGTTGTATGGTTAGGCTTTGGGGAAGGGTGTTGGTGTGAGATTTCTCTTGAGGGAGACATGAAACTTCTTTTTAGAAGTATTTAGAGAAAAGTCAAAAAAAAATTTCCTCCTCTCCTCTTGAAAATCTCTCTTCGTCTTCTTCTTCCTTAAAGCTAAGCATACTAATTAGCTAGAGGATCCAAGCTTGTAGAGCTGAAGATCTTTGGTCAAAGCCGCACAAAGAACCTTTTCTTTCCAAATTCTGTCTCCTCTTGGTGATTCATCTACAAGTGGTAGAGGAAGCTTGTTTTATTCTTGTTGTTGCATGTTGAAGTTATGAAGTTGATGTTTCCAAGAAAGGTGAACCCAAAATCTAAAATTGTTGATCTCTCTTTGTTGAGGGCATGCATATTGCATTTGAATTGGTTTGCATGTTGAATACGTTGTTTAGAATCATCTTGATGGTTTAAATTTAAGTTTAGAGCTTGTAGATGAGCTTGAGATGGATTAGAGAGGATTGAAAACCCCAAAATCGTAAAAAATAGAAATGGTATTTATCATGAAATGATTGAACAATTTTGAAATAGTTGAGCAGAATTGAAAATCATAATTAGGGGTGTCTTTGGAAGGAAAAAACTGAGCTATTTTGAAATGGTTGAGCAAAATTGGAGATGAAAATCAAGAGTGTCTTTGGAAAGAATCTGCTAAATAATTTTGAAACAGCTGAGCAATTTGGCGATTTCTGAATTAGACTTTTTGTCTTCATAACATTTGTAACCCTAGATGTTAACTTTCTAATGACTTTGGAATCATCTAAAAAGGAGGTATAGAATTTCAATTATGACCTTTTTAATAAACAAAGGTTAAGTTGTCAGCATTTAGACAAACTGTTGCGATTTTTATGATTTTCAATGTAGTAGATGATGGATTTAGAACTTGAAGTCTTCATGATAGTTGTTGATAATCTTTTTGTCTTTTATATGAAATAAAGATGAAATTGATATGAGTAATATAACTCTCTGTGTGGTATTTTATGTGAAGGTTGTCGTTGTATGAAAATTAATTTTAATATGTTGTATGATGTTTTAAGTTGTCTTATAATTGAATAAGGATATATGAACTGTATGATGGATGATGTATGATGTTAATTGTGTTTTTAAGGCAAAAGATGGTTCATGAATATGTTGCATATGTTATGAAGTGCTATAAGTTGAATAATGTAAGTTGGTTGACGTGTACATTATAAGAAATTTATAATGCTAAGTTGTTGGAGATGTGTGATGGAATAATATGTTGACAATGTAAGGGGTTGTATGTTGATGTAAAATGTGATGATGTATATGTTGTAAGATGGAAGCTGATAGTTGTTAAAGTTGAAAGTTGTTATGTATAGAATGTTATGTTTATTATTGTTGTTAAGTTGAAAGTTGATATGTATGTTGAAAGATGATTAAGTTTTAAAAATGTAAGCTGATATGATGTTATGTTGTTGTGTATTTAAAAGTAAGTTAAATGATATTTATGTTGTAATGATGTACAATGATAAGTTGTGAAGTTATTCAGTTGTTAAATGGTGTCGGAAAGTTGGGTGGTGTCAAGTGTGATCAAGCAAAGACTCCCTATCTGGATGATGTCGAATGCCACTAAGGTGACACTGGCATGAGGTAGGAAGAAACTCTCTGCCTGATATGAGATCAAGCGTGGATTTTACCACGTTAGATATAAAGTGTTTAGCTTTCATATATGTTTTTGGTGTGATGTTGTATGTTACAGTATTATTTTCTATACTTACATATTTTTTGAACTCTAGTTTGCCATTCTATTTTCATGTTA